TCTGTTTCTGCCTGTCTGTGTGTCTGTCTCTGTCTGTTTGTCTGCCTTTCTGTGTGTCTGTCTGTGTGTCTGTCTGTCTGTCTGTGTGTCGGTCTCTGTCTGTCTGCCTGTCTTCCTGAATGTCTGTCTGCCTGTCTGTCTTTCTGCCTGTCTTCCTGTCTGTCTGTCTGTCTGTCTGCCTGTCTGCCTGTCTGTCTCTGTCTGTTTGTCTGTCTACCTGTCTGCCTTTCTGCCTGTCTGCCTTTCTGCCTGTCTGCCTGTCTGTGTGTCTGTCTGCCTGTCTGTCTTTCTGCTTGTCTTCCTGTCTGTCTGTTTGTCTGTCTGTCTGCCTTTCTGCCTGTCTGTCTCTGTCTGTTTGTCTGTCTGCCTGTCTGTCTGCCTTTCTGCCTGTCTGTCTGTCTGTCTGTCTGCCTGTCTGTCTGTCTGCCTGTCTGTGTGTCTGTTCCAGGTCGTTTGAAGTCTGGGGACCTGATTTTGGATGTTAATAACTTCAGTCTGGTTGGCGTGACCAATGAGAGGTGAGTCTCTGTTTTCTACCAAACGATGAAAGTTGGCCCTGGTGTACAGCGTTCATGTGTGGCTGTTTTCCTGCAGGGCGGTGGAGATCTTGAGAACAGCTTCGCTCTCTAATCACATGTCTCTGCTGATCGCCAGAGACGACGAGTCCAGGTAAACAAAGACCTTCTCAGCCTCAGCTCATGTAGATACTCCACACAGACTCTCTCACTGGTACATCTTCATCTTTAAATCACTTCCTGGTCTGCTGCCTTCATACATCTCCTCCTACATGTCTCTGTGTGAGTGCAGCTACAGCGTGCGCTCTCAGGACATCATTACCTGCAGTGTTCCCTCAGTGAGGACTGAACTAGACAAAAGGACCTTCTCCTACTCCGCTCCTGTTTCCTGGAATATCTTGTAAAAAGATCTGAAGCTCTCGACCTTTGACCTCTCTAAGTGTCTTTAAGAATCTGTTGGACTCCTGGCAGGGACCAATGCTGACATGTTCCTGTTTTTAGTTTTCTACATTCGCCTTAGAATCTAGCTGATCTTGCTTCGTTTTTAAATCCCATTTTCTTTCATTTATTCTTCTCAATGTATCTGCTTTGTTTCATGATTGTCCACTGTTGTCATCACTCTTTGTTAAAACCAGGTCTCTCCGAGGCTCAATGAGACTAATCTGTAGAAATAAAGGTTGAATGAAACTTCCTGTGGAGCTGAGGGGCCAACAAAGACCGTTATTAGGAAGTCTGGTTAGACTTTTGAAACTGAAACATCTTAAAGCAGTCAGGAGAACTCGCACATGAACATTTTTGAGGTTTGATGCAAACCTGGATTTATGGATTTTTGGGTGGGGGTTTCTATACAAGTCCTCGGTCTCCGTCCAGGTGGCTGGGATGATTGGGGGGCAATGTTCAGGTCTCTGCAGGGATGTCTGACAGGGTTCATGTCAGGGTTCTGGCTGGTCCACTCTAGGACATACAGAGGTGTCTCTTAGGCCCTCCCATGTGTCTTCTTTGTGAGCTTAGGGTCGTTGTCAGGACAGACGGGGAACCTTTGGTTCAGTCTGAGGTCCTAAACTCTGTGGAACAGGTTTTCAGCTTCTACTCGGCTGTGTACAGTAGAAGCTGAAAGCTGCCGCAGGGCGGCTGTGGCTGAGTGGTTAGAGCAGTCGTCCTCCAATGCAAGAGCTGGGGGTTCGATTCCACAAGCAGTCATATGCCAAAGTGTCCCTGGGCAAGACACTGAAACCCCCATAGCCTCCAATGTGTGTCCCATCAGTGTATGGATGTGATAAAGCTCTGATTAGTGTCTGTATAGATCTAGTATAGATCTGTATGAATGGGTAGATGAGACACAGATTGTTATAAAGAGTTTTGAGTGTCTGGATCAGACAGAAAGGAGCTGTATAAGTGCAGTCCATTTACCATTTACTCAACCAGACCAGTCTCCCAGTCCCTGCAGCAGAACAACACTGGTTCAATGACTGGTTCATGGTGCTACAAAGAAACAACAGAAGCTGAAGAGGTGATTGCTAAAAGCACGTGCAGCGGTCATCAAGTGATCTCACTAAGAAACTGTCCAGATGACCGGACTGAAAATTGTTGGATTGTATACCTGGATTATTGAGCATGGACTTTGTTGGTTTTCTGATCTCACTAAGCTTTGAAAGATGCAAATGTTGTAGAGTTTGTTGTAGATGGTTCCAACCATCAGCAGCAGAGAACTGAAACGATGAACGACCAAAGGAAGAGCGTGACTCAGGAATAAACAGGTCAAGGCTGCTGGTGTGGAGGACACGCATGTTGCTGCGGATGTTGAGCAATGAGCGGAGGCAAGATGGGGTTTTACCTGTCAGGGTTTTATTGATCAACAGAAACCAGTTTTTGTCTGTGGGAGTGGACAGAGGGCAGCTCATTCAACCTTTATTTCTACAGGTAAATCCCATTGAGCCTCGAGGACTCATTTACAAGAGAGACCTGATTTTAACAAAGAATCATGACAACAATGGACAGTTATAAAGAGGCATACAGATTATTATTTTTATTATTTTACAAATTAAAATAAGATGCAAAAAAGTAACAAACCCAGCTAGATTCTAAGGCAATGTAGAAAACTAAAAACAGGAACGTCTGCATCGGTCCCTGCCAGGAGTCCAACAGTTTCTTAAAGCCACTTAGAGAGGTCAAAGGTCGAGAGCTTCAGATGTTTTTACAAGATATTCCAGGAAACAGGAGCGGAGTAGGAGAAGGTCCTTTTGTCTAGTTCAGTCCTCACTGAGGGAACACTGCAGGTAATAATGTCCTGAGAGCGCACGCTGTAGCTGCACTCACACAGAGACATGTAGGAGGAGATGTATGAAGGCAGCAGACCAGGAAGTGATTTAAAGATGAAAATGTACCAGTGAGAGAGTCTGTGGGAAGTTAATGGTGACCAGTTGACCAGTGAAGTTAATGGTGACCAGTTCACCAGGGAGGACAGAGTCTGGGGACAAACGGTCTGCTGTCTTCTTGAAATATCAATTCAGTTTATTTCTAAAGCTCCAAGTCACAACAGAAGTCGTCTCAGGTAATTTAACATTATCTGAGGGGCAGACTGCTTCTCTAAACTACAGACAATTTTTATATTTTATCTTTGGTTACTTGAAAAGTTGAAGAGGAAATTACGTCACTAAGCATAACAGTATCGAGTAGAAGTTATGAGTACAATTATGAGTACTTGACTCTGGTATTGGGCACGATGCCAGTACCAGAACTGGTATGGGACACCTGGGAGCACAAAGAATCCTGAATGCTTTTCTTCATCCCTTCCATCCAGAGTTTGAACCGTTACCATCAGGTCGGTGGTTCAGAACTGTCGCGTCACAGACTCTAGATGTTTAGTTGTAGGCAACAAACAGCAACGAGACGTTTCTGCAGGTTGCATGGCTCTGTGCTCTGATGAGGTGCCACTGCACCCGGACATGGAACTGCTGCTCAGAAACGGTGTCTCCGCTGGAGACAAAGATTGTGCGAGTCCGTATGCAGACGATAAAACCGACTGCCGACTGTTGGTCTTCATACTATCAAAGTTCACGCTCAGCAATCCAGGTAAAAAAATCCAACAAAGTTCAGTCAGGTCATCTGGACGTTTTTTTTTATCGTTGAGACGTTTCATCCAAAGGACTTCATCAGTCCAAGGAGCCACAACAAGCTCAGTCCCACAAGCAGCACACTCACATAGTGGACCAACCAGTTTGCTGGTGAGAAGATGGTTTCTGGGGCCCGCCCTCTCCCCCTTCGACACCTCTGAGGCCGTGGTTCAAAACATCAAAGTTCATGCTCAATCATCCTCAGCTCATCTCCTACAGATGCTGAACGTTGCTGGTCTTCATACGTTTGGGTGGGTTTTCATAGGAAGTCCGGGTCAGCCTGAAGCGGCTGATTGGACGGAGCGCCTTGACGGTCAAAGGTCGACCGTGGAGTTTTATGTAGGTGTGAAGAGGAGAGCTTTGGTTGCTGTAGCTGGCAGAAGACAGAAGAAACATCTGGTGCATCAGTTTATAAACTTGTAGAAAAAGTTGATCTTTTTCATGAAGCTTCAGACAAACCCTGAACACGTGCACCAACGTTTCGGTGAGAAGCCTCTGAGCGTTAGATTGACCCGGTTTGTTGGACGCAGAAGAACCGCAGAGAATCTCCTTTTCTTCCCGGCGGGATGTGGACCCGGTACCAGCTGATGCTTCACCACTCGGACAGCTCCGGTTTCTGCCGGCGCAGAGACGTCCCTGCTGTTAACTCCGGGGGGGTGAACCGACCTGACCCTCCGCTGGCCCACCTATTCTCCACATCAGCCTGCAGCTGCAACTTAAAGTGACACATTGAGGACACGGTGCTGACGGACACAGGGTTCTGTTGGTCCTGGTGCAGAGCAGGGATCAGCAGCATCAGCAGGCGGATGCAGGGGGTGGGTGTCTGTGATGATGCAGAGTTTTATTTTAGATTAAAACCTTTGTGGTGCGTTCGCTTGTAAAAACAAAGCTGGATAATCTTTTTATTGGGTCTAAACCAAGCGCAGCACAAACAGAACCGTCAGGTTTGTCCTCAGCCGGGTCACAGGAGCAGATGGAGCCAATCAAAACCTGCAGTAGCTTAGAGCGGCTGGAGGGACGTGACGTCCGTCGACCTCAGACCGAAGGTCGTCTCACCGCCATCCTGTCCGCTCCATCGTTACGAAACCAGAAGCAGTCCTGAGACAACGCCCACAGCTCGGTGGACAGTTGATGAATGACATTTAATGGTTGACACGTGACAGTCAATGGTCGAAAGTTGACATTGTTGAAAATAAATTTCAATGTAGAACATTAGAGGGAAATAAACATGTTGTAAGCTCAGTCATCCAGGTAGATAACAAAAGTTTAACCTTTTTTCTTGTTAGCTACCTGGATGATGGAGCTTACAACACCTTTTCTGAACCATGCTGGTGACAAGAACCTTTATAAACAGATGAATTTCCTTAGAAGAGTTGGTTTCTATGATGTCAGTTGGAGAAGGTGAGCTGGTTTTGAGGCAGGACTGAGCATGAAGCAGTTAGGAGGGAGATCCAGAAGACAGGTCCAGGGAGACCAGTGAGGGTCGTGCACAGGTGATCAGAAATCCAAAACCAAACTTGAATTGTGATCCGGTAGACGTGGTCGTTGTAGAGAAGGCAGAGGTCGTTACCATGAGCAGAGGAGATGATCCAAAGCAAGCAGGGGACGAGCAAGATGGGTAAAACAGGCAGGAAGTCAGAACCAGGAAGTCAGAACCAGGAAGTCAGAACCAGGAAGTCAGAACCAGGAAGTCAGAACCAGGAAGTCAGAACCAGGAAGTCAGAACCAGGAAGACGAACGAAACTGTGGCATGGACGCTGGACATTTACTCACTGAGGCTGTCAATAATCTGGCCCTGAGGACTGAACAGGGAGTTTGAATAGGAGAGTGAGCAGGTGTCGTGCATGAGCCTGACTGCAGGCAGAGCGAGACTAAGCAACACGATGAAAGAGTAAACAGAAACATGACAGTTGGCCTTGGTGTCCTCAGGCTGTTTCCGTGAGTAGCAAGTTGGCCATCTGGTCTAAAACATTTGATTGTTGTACATGATGATTGTGTTGGATGGGTGTGTTGTGCACGTGTTAAAAGTTTCTGAGAGTCCAACAGGAGGTTGTCTAGAAACACAGCAGTGAAGGCTACTTATGGGACAAATCTGGTTGGCAGGCCGTAGACTGAGGAAGTCCTCTGGATGGGGGACAAAACATTTCTCCCAAAAAGAAACTGGACCAGATGACACAAATGAACCTTTTTGTTTTGAGAGGGAAATGTTTATTTTCATCAAGTTTGTAACAGACCAGGAACCGTCTCTACAGCGTTAACGCTGCTGCTGTCAGACCACATGGAAACATGACTGTGATCCGTTCATGTTTTCACCTTTAGGAGGGAGTTTTCAGAGCTGATGGAGAAGTATGGCTCCAACAACGTCCCATCTTCAGGCCGAATCTCTCCGCCTCAACTGTCCTCAGGTAAACACACCAACGGTTCTGATCCACCCATAAAAACTGGACCAGCATTCTGTGACCTTCACAACGACCAGACCTTTCTTCACTTGTGCACAGGGAAGCTGACGGACACGGCCTCCTCCTCCTCCTCCTCACGCTCAGAGAGCCCCCAGTTACTCAGTCCTAAGGAGGGCGGAGTCACATCATATAGCCACATCCCACACTACACCTCCAGCCCCGTCTACACTAATGTGCACACGCCACCCTTCAGGTAAGAAGATGCTTTCACTGTCCTTCACACGAAGGATGATGCTTAAAAAAAGACATTCTTTGTGTTGTTCTTTGTCACTAAACAAGACTGAAAACCTCCCCAACTAGACCTTGAACAAGTTAAACCTGGTTTAACCTCCCCAACTGGACCTTGAACCAGTTAAACC